CCATATTTCAAATTACAAATCGGATCTCCATTAAAAGAACTCAAATCATTACAATTTAGTAATAGTCTGATTGATATCGGTAATGAAATGATAAATCTTAGTAATATTGTAGTTTTGCCAGGTGTTTGATTATTGGAAATTTCAATGAAGTACAAAGACAAAACCTTAACATCCTTTACTAAATTCGTCTAACCGGACAGTAGTAATCTTGAGCCAAAAATAAAAGTAAAGTCAAAAAAAATCTATAAATAACACACATATTTGGAATTATGTCTTATGAATAACATATAATAGACAAAATTATTGATTAATTTTTAAAGTTCATTCAAACCATACATTTTTTTAGAATTTAGTTATGATTTCTATCTTGATTAGTTAATTTACATTTTTAAAAATTTTAAACGGAATATTATCACTTAATATTTAACATTAAATTGAATAAACCAAAAAGAATGTACAAATTAAAATTAATTAATTAAAATAATCTAAATAATTTCGTTTAATTAATTTGAAAAAAATTTTATTTCAAACTTATTTATAAAACTGGTTAGTAGGAAAAATAATTTACTTTTATTTAGTGTACTTGGATCAATCTTTAATGAATATATTGAATTAACAATGGAATAGAAGAAAAAATATAAGTTTTAGCCAGTAAAAATTGGTGAGCACCGAATGGTTGTCTCACTTCAGCTTGAAACTCCGCACCAATACTCACCCGAAGAACTCGTACAAAATCAGACTTAAAGTTTTTAGTTTTTATGTTATGATAATTCTAAACAATGAAATTGTAAATCAATAATTTACTCTCTAGATTACAGTTGGTTCTCGAACTTTGGGTGAGATTATGACTAGTAAAGTTCTTCAATCTTCCCCACATTGAAATACCAGTTTCTCAGAGCAAACATATTAGTCACCGTAATCTTCTTTTATAATTCATTTAAGAATTACATATACTATTGGTCAGATGAATTCACGGAAAAGGAATGCTGTGGAAACGAAAGAACAATGGAGTCTGAGACGATTGATTGACATTTCGCAAATGAAGTATTTACTACATGGTTCTCAGATTTTACTAAGATGTTCTGTAATTTTGTATTCAAATACATTGGATTGTCCCCACTATTATAACATGTGGTTTTGTGCCCTATTAATATATAATGTAATGATACTACCAATTAGAGAACAGTGATTTATCGACCGGTTCAATGACGCATAAAACCGTACGAGAAGTCTGGAGTCTTTATCGGTCCTTCTTCCTCCCTAGCCCTGCCTGTTGAGTACAGAACACAAATCTCAGCCTCAGCGATATGAATCATGTATTTCAAACATATTATGTTTATATACAAACCAAAGACACCACATCGTACTATAAAATAGAAAATAACATTTATACAAGATTTAGCCAAAAGTGGTTGTGAATGTGGGAGATAGTAATTGATAGACTGAGCATAACTCAAGAATGATAAATCGTATAAGAATAGCTCATAAGTCAAAATAAACCTTATAATAAGAGGGACACGAATATGAATGGTTTAGTCACTTAACAATTATGCAATGAAAATATATGTATAGAATTAGTCCAGAAATAGATTCCAAAAGTTACCATTCATTATTCTCATCGGGACATAACACCCACCTGTGTTCTCGTTCACTAAACAATAACATCAGAAACGTTATTACAATTCAACCCATTCGGAGCATATTTGTCCCATTTCTGGTTCGATTTCATTGTTAAATAATATATAATATGTAAACTGAATCAGTAGATAAGAGAGGACATGATTTCATTCTATCCTAGATACCCACCTTTACATTTATTATGTATTACTTTCAAACAGCTGGTATGTACATAGATTGCCTGATGTAAAGCAATAACTTATGATCAAATTGGGTTTATTTTTTAACGTAACTATAGCTTTCATATGATCAGTTTCCGAATTGAATTATAGTACAAGATTTAAAAATTTGTACTGTTGGTAATCTATCGATCAAAAAAAGCAGCTGAGATTTGAATGTACTTTAACATAACTAGATAATTGATACAAGGAAAAGTACAATTGTTCATATAAACGATTTCCTCAACGATAGATATTATGTGGCCTTAAAATAGAGACAATTGGAAAGTAACTAACAAAACTAGTCAATATGAAACTTAAAGAAAATCAGTTATATCGGAGTTCGTAAGATTATGCCAACTGATCAGTTGCGTTAAACTATCTGAATTAAGAAAAATCACTGCTAATAAGTGCTTTCGCCTAGTTACTATACTTCATCAAATCGATGAGCCATATTTAATAAGTCAGTTTAAAGAAATTAACCATTTATTTGTAAAGGTTTTTACGAACAAAAAAATCGACTAGTTCGGAAATAATTTCTGCCAAACTGAAATTAGATGAAGAAATAAACAAAGTAGGGGAGAGGATTACTATATGCTAAATCACTAAATACTTGCTTACGCCTGTTACCCCTCGTGGAGCATAGGACCACCATCAGGAATCGCCAGCACACTGTGCTGGGTTATCCTTCCAATTGTTGCCAGGTGCTATTCATTCTTTTGATGTCTACCTGTGATGTTTGTATGAACTAATGATTCTTTTTTTACTTAGTGTGGGCCCGATTTTGAATTCCAAATACAATACATTCGTTTGTGTTCATCTAGTTCTACGTGATTTAAACTGTGTTGTTTCGGGGACTCCTAGTTCGTATAATAATTCAAATATTTATATTCATCACATTGGCGTCTTGATGGAGCCTGTGATGGTACAATTGGTCATACATCCAATTTTTGATACTTTTGAAAATTATATAGGCATGTTCGAAATCTGAACTATGACCAAAGAGGGTGTTCACATTGTGGCTCATTTCCTTAGATTCATCGGAAAAGAAACCCACAGCTTACTGAAAATTTTAGCATTCCCAGATAAGCCTATTTCACTATATTACGAAACTCTCAAATAACTGCCGTTAAGTCATGTAAAGTGCACAAATTTCGAATGTCGTGAAGAAGGAAAATTTCATAAAATCAGAATAATCAAAATGTTAGAGAATTTATCCTTCAATCGCAGAAACAAGCTGCCAAGTGCAATTTTCGGTCACCAACTTCATGTGCACCAGCCTGATTGATTGCAGGTATCAACATACCTAATCTGTAAAGAGAGGTTATGCAAGCGTCAAGGCGTTCTTTTCAAGGTCAGCAAAAGTTTGGTAAATGTTTGTCCAGTGGTAAATTTCATTCACGTAATTCATGCGTATTTCGCAATGCTAAATGCTTTAAATGTGGTAAAATCGGACACATTCAATCAGTTTATAAAACTACTGTTCATTTCGCTGCAAGTAATGCCAAACTTTGTGATTCCGATCCTATTAAGTTGAGTGTTTCTAATGATCATTTACCTTTATCCACGGTTTCGAAAACCACTATAGAGTCATATGTCAGTCCAGAGTTAAATGAAGCCTTGAACCACTCTGGAACTGAACTCCAGACAAAACAAACTTATACTTCACGTGATATTTGTAGAGAAAGCTGCAGGGGCTCATATTCAGAAAATATTTGGAGCAGCAAAATGCATCAAATGAGACTCAGAATAATTGTTAGACAGAAAGTTTCCAGTACATCAGCTTATCAAATTTCTCATATTAGTTTACCAGATATCGGTTGTCCTAATGATTCACATATGCCTGGTGAATTTTCCTATAAAAATGAGGAAGATATGTCGAATGAATCAAATCATGATCCGAAATCTGATGCAATTTTGATAGATGCTGATTTTTCTAATGATCGATCATTCTCTAATGAGATTCTTAATAAATCTGAAGAAAATATTTGAGAAGAACCAGATCATGATGTTATCATATCAAATGTAATTTGTCCTCATAATGTATTTGTTTCTGATGGAAAACTTGGTCAATGTGAAGCACAAGTTTTAAGTGGATTCACACCTAATTACAGATTGGATGATCGCATATCGATTGCTGTTTATCCTTACCGTGAAGTCACTTCTAAATCTGTTCTAAGTAAAGGCACATTATTCGTAACTTGGGAATATGAAGATGTAACATTATTTCGTGGGGGAGGACAGTGTTGAAAAATCTATGGTTCCAGTTCTAGATATCAGTACACAACCGACTTGTCGATCAGATACAATTCCAGGAAGCAGGTGAGTCTGTTCCGATTTTTGGTTGTTAATTCTAATACTAATCAGCATATTCCAGATCATACAGAGTCTATATCCAATACACAGTCGGATAGACACACAATGGACCTAAGGAGAAGTACAACTAATTACAGAAATTCGGATTCTCATTTAAGCTGTGGCGGATGTGGTATTTTTACGAAATAATAATTTTGTACTTGATTGGCCGCTGAATTCGTTTGTGTTCATTGAGTTCTACGGACTAATGGTTCTTTTGTATTTGATTGCCAGCTGATTTCGGACTAGGATGATATAATGATCAATCACCTGCACTATTTTAATTAATTCTGCTTAATAATTGAAAACATATATATTTTGATACTACTACTAATCCAGTGAATAAAGTCATAAACGAAATTGCATACGAAGCGTTAAGTAAGGTATCTAAATGAAGCATTTAATGTCGAAGAAATAATAAAGAAAATAATCACAAGGGAAAGTAGGCCACGTTATAGAAATCAACACTAATATTTACAAATAAAACTGTTCCCAATTAAATTCTTAATGGGTTTTAACCTAATACATATTTAAACATATGAGCGAATAAAAAATAAGATATTTACAGCGAAACAACAGGTTACCAGTTGAGAATATGTAGAATAGGATAAGGAGTGTAGTGTGCAATAAAAACACAACTTACTGGCATTTTATATCATTCTTACTAACCTATTTTCGTCCATCTTTCAAATGAATTTGTACATGTTTATCTGTTTCGAATTATTTCCTGTTAAAATCCATCTGGTTGGTTCGCAATGTGAAGTACATCTTTCTACAGATCTCAATAATTAGCCCTCGATTTTAAGCTACCTAATGTGTTAATCTATCAAGAGTATATAAGTTGACACGAACTACAGGATAACATGATGCAAAAAATTCCCATGTTGGATTGAGACTTACCTCGGTAAAACCACGACAAATATTTGAACATATGAAGTAGGTCATCTGCAGCTATAGAATTTAGAGACCAGGGTTTCGGCCTAAATTCCTGAATATTCACTTACATGTAAGAGATGAGCGTAAACCTCACTGGAAAAGTAGGAAGCAATACAATAAATGGCTTTGGATATTGTATACACTATCACTGCAAAAAGTATCACTATATTTGTTGTGATTGGTAACAAATACCGTGTGCTTATTTTCAGATCATCCCACTTATATACATGTACATAAATTTGCACTGTAACCGAAATTACGTGGTGGATTTGTATTTCAGGATGTATAACTAAGTTGGAAAGATAACTTTTCACACGAATTACCATCAGTGAGGAACTGCTACGATTGAACAACAGTGAAGGGTTTCTGTCATACTGATACCCATGTATTACTAATACAACCCCTCGAATGACTCAACCAATCCAAACAGTCATCTCAATGCACCACCGTTCAAGACACCTGCAACTGATTAAGGTTTCGCAGTCTATAATCACTGATATCGCCAACCTCAGACATCCCTTGTGGCTGAGAGACTGCGGGGCATTTAGGGATTAATTAAGCTTTGAATATTCAAACTGTGTTACACATACCCATATCCCTGTTCCCACATTTAAATTTACGTCAGACTTGCCTAGAACCATGGCAACTCAAGAAATCCTTTTTTGATCACTTACCATTTCTTTCCGTTATTGTATTCATTCGAGTATTTTCAAACGTGGATGCAAATATCGACAATTCTAGACTATCTGGATTATTCAGATAAATACTACCTATAAATTTAAGATCATATAAGATGTGGACACTGGAAGTGGATTCGGTAGTATAACATGAAGCCAACAAATTAAGAACCAGTAATAATGATCACATTAACGTAATACTACAAAACAACCAAGCAGGAAATTTACGTTTTGCTGGACAACGCGAAGCACTATCACTCCAGCACTAGGAATCTTTTGGTCAGACCAAAAGGTTTCATGACTTGGTCTCACTTTATACATGGTTTAATAAACGACTTGGCATGCGCTGAATCAACCCAGTTTACATTCATTTTAACAGAAATTCCACATTAAACAAAAATGCTAAGTGTCAAGCGTGGGAAAGCGCCAGTGAACAAGTTAGGAAACCTATAACTAGATTTGTCGATAGTAACTTAACACCTAGAATTCATCATGAGAAAGTATCGACAGTCAGTTAGTCAGCTACAAAATAGGACCAGGCACATATATGCATCGGTCCAAGTTTCCATGCCACAGTAGCACAAGCAAGATGAACACCGGATTCATAAAAGTAGTTAATTCAGAGGTGGTAATATATAAAAAATTTCATATAAGGATATAGTACAGGAAGAAAGAATTAGTTCGTAGAAAGAAAGATATAAATTGATTTTAACCTCATAGTTGAAAGAAAGGTAAAGAGTGTATGCACCGATGCCATTGTGATCGATTCTGAGCCATGTCACCAAGAGTCTCCAACCATCGGTTACGATAGTCACGTGGACCCCAATCAAGTAGTCTGCATCTACCAACATGGCTGAGAATAGAGGTTAGTGTCTTCGACCACTGATGCCACGTTTTGGTTTGGCCACCCCTAATTCTCTTCCAACCATCTCTAACACCCGTTAGCATTGCACGACGTGGTAATCGGTGTTCGGGCATACGTAACACATGGCCCAACCATCTCAGTCTATGAAGATCCACAACCTCGTCAACTGATTTACCATCATTACCTAATACCCTGCGTCTAACCTCACTATTGCTTACCCGGTGATCCCACCAGACGCCAGCAATATTTCTAAGGCATTTGTGGTCAAATATTAGTAGCTTACGGATGTCTTCTACTCTTAAAGGCCATGTTTTGTTGCCGTAAAGTAAAACAAAACGAACTGCTGCGCAGTATACTCGTCCTTTTATTGATAGACGGATACCTCGCCTTCGTCATAGGTGACATAAGTTGGCAAAAGCCAAGCGAGCTCTTCGGATCCGTGCTGAGATTTCGTCAGACACCAACCCATTAGGGCTGATCAGACTTCCAAGATAAGTGAAGTTGTCAACGCGTTTGACTACTTCACTCACTATCCTTAGTTCAGGTGTTGACGCAGACCAGTCCTGAAGCAGCAGCTTGCATTTAGAGGGAGAAAAACGCATTCCAAACATTATGGCATTGTTGCTTAGTGCTACCAGAAGACTCTGCGTTTTAACAGCGTCTTCACCAAACAAGACTATGTTATGTGTATTCTAAGTCGATAAGTGGACCTCCTGGAAGGAGATCAATACCCCAGAATTCAGTCGACGAGAATGTTATTTCCATCAATAAGTCTATGATGAAGTTAAACAAAAATGGAGGAATTGGAAAGCCTTGACGGACACCACTTGAGGTTGCAAAAGCAGATGACAGTTCGCCATAAGCTCTGACTCGACTGGTAGTGTTCGAGTAAAGAGCCTTCAAAAGGTTTATTTACTTCTGAGGTACGCCTTTCAATGACAGACACTGCCACAGAATCTCGCGATCTACCAAGTCAAATGCTGCTTTTACGTCAAGAAAGACCACCATTGTCGGACGCGGATAAGTATGTCTATGTTCTAGAACCTGACGAATGGTGAGTATGTGGTCGATGCAGCCACGACCAGGTCTGAAGCCAGCTTGATCCTCTCGTGTTTGCAGTTCACGAGTCTTAGTTAGGCGTCTGGTAATTATCGAAGCTAGTATTCTAGATACTATATTAGTTAAACTAATCCCTCTATGGTTGTCTTAGGATGTTTTTAACCCTCTCTTATATATTGGGACGATAAGTGATTGTGACCAGTCAGATAGAATAACGTCTAACTCCCAAATTCCAGCTAAAATATTAGTCAACCTAATCGCTAAAATTGGACCATCATCCTTAAGGACCTCTGGGGCCAATTCATCTAGACCAGCTGCCCTTCCCCGTTTCAGATTAACTATAGCCTTTTGAACTTCTGTTAGAGTTGGAGGACCTACTTCAATGTTCCATTCACACTGTCTGGTAATGGAGGGTCACTGAACTGTTCCCTAAAATGTTCCGCCCATCGTTCTCAACGTCTGGACTGGGAGCAGATAAGAGTGTCGTCTTTTTCTGAAACAGTCTGACTTACACTTGACTTATTAATTCCAGTTTCTTTTATTAGTCTGTAGAACTGTCTTGTGTTCCCTATAGCCGCCGCCTTTTCCATCTCTTTTGCTTTCGTGGCCCACCACTGCTCACGGTCGTTCCCTAGACTTTTGTTTAACCTAGATCTGATTTCTTTACGCTCTTCATTGTGTTCTGAACCTGATGGGATGAGTTTACGAGAATCCATCAGTGCAATAGACCTTGAAGAAATCCATTGGTTCTTTGTAACCCTGTGGTTTAAATCACTGGTAGATGTCACTGCTGTTTCCACAGCTGCTTGTATAGCTTTCCAAGCAACATCTGGGTCAACCTCGTTTTCAGAACTACCTAAGTGTGACCTCAGTTGTTCCTGGAACCTACTTTTGGTTTTCTCGTTACTCAACTCAGTTCTAATTGGTCTTTTTATTGTGGCTTTTGTGCGTCCAGTGGGGCGCAAGCCGATTCGTGCCCACATTAGGGCGTGGCCGGAGTTCAAGCAGGTACTCCAGAATGAGCGACAATCTTCTACCGACCCTCTCCAACGATGACTGATGGCAATATGGTCTATTTGAGTCCATCGTTGGTTTGGTGTAGGGGATCGCCATGTTAGACGATGTCTCTCCTTATACTTAAAATTTGTGTTTGCTAAAAATAAACGATTGTCTGAGCATATTTGCAGCAGACGACCACCATTATCTGTTCGTTAAGTCGGAATACTAAAATACCCACCTAAATGTCGGGGAAAGTATCGACAGTACAAAAGAAAACCCTGTTAATTAATATGGAATTTGGAGACACGGCTGCTGAAATCTTAAATGAACGGATTTCAAAGTCATTGAATGAAACTTTCTACACAGCCAAGCTCCGAATTGTTTTCTCAAGCCGGCCTATCATTCCTGGATGTGTTAAAAATAAGATTTCGCTTTGGGCCACATCAATGTGTATTTATAAATTTACGTGCTCATGTGGGGTTCGTTATAAAGGCCGAACAAAGCGACCACTTTCCAAACGGATCTCAAAACATTATCCGGCTTGGCTTGTAATAGGAGAATGTAAGACGATCACTAGTTCTATACAGGAGCACTTAGTCGATTTCGGACACACCGCTCCCAATTATTCTTCTTTTAAACTGATCTACAGAGTCAAAGGAATTGGACCGAATCAATATTCTATGCATTGCTGAGGCATTGCAACTCACGAGCTCAAGCCCAAACTTTGCGTGCAGAAACGACTTGTCCAACCTCTTATCCGTCCTTGGCCTTAATGGGTATGTTTCTGCTTTGTTTCTTCCCCTGCACTTTTATTTGATTACTATCGAATTTCTTAAGATTACTATTTTGCATTTGAAACTCTAATCTGTTATTATTACCTTGTACAAGTTTTCTTGAGTATTATTCAGTCTATTATTATGACCTGTGTTTGTCGCTTTTCTTCATATTATCTGACCCATTAACGATTTTCTTCCTTACCCCTTGATTAGTACGTAAACTCATTTGTTATTTATTCTCGAATCCATTTTGGCGATGCAAATTTTTTTCTATCCTCCTATAGACATACATTTCCCATATACCTGTATATACGAATGTACAGCTTAAGTCAGTCAGGAACAACGTAGAACTTCGTACGTACGTACATCAGTTCGAGTTGCCACACCACATTAGCACACAGATGTAGTGGTCGATTCAAATCCCGTAGTGGTAGAGGTAATGAGAGTCCAGGCAGTAATCGGGAAAATTAGTCTGGAGATGTTATTTAAAGAGCATAATCCAGTGAAATAAATTTGGGAAGAGAAAAAAAAGACCTATAACTGTCGTACTGTAGCAATACTTTGACTCCTAGTATTTAATACGACTTAGTAAGATAATTTTGGCCTTACACCCAAAAGGAAGGAAAATTAACATCTGGAAGTAGGACCTTTAACCTTGTAATCTATTACTGTAAGAGCTAAATAACAGACGTGTTAATTAACGGATGCAAATTAGAAAACTACTAAAACAACTGGCACTTATCATTAAAAAAACAAGGCCAGAAGTAGCAAACTAGTTACCGGTTACAACGAGTGACCTGAACGTACTGACACTTTTTATCAAAACACTTTCAGTGGATCAATATACCGCACACATACGACTTAGCCAAGGTAATCGAGACAGTCTGTGATATGAGTAATGTAAGCAGTAGACTAGCTGTTAAGCGTGCTGATTAGGGACATTTAAATGAAAAGCAACAAACTTCAAGTAAATATTTATATCAACAACGAAAATTAATTTGCTAGTAATCTTCGGAAACTAAATTACATGCTAACTTTACAATTCATTGCTAATTGCAACACTTAAGGAGATGGCTTTTTCGGTAATCTGAAATCGGCATATAGTTCTTTAAATTTGTCGAATCCAGCCAACACACCAGCGCCGGCGACACCTCGGAGTATGTTTGCACCGGCACCCTTCATGAGAGACATTGGTCCTTCATTTTTCAGTATTTCAGATGCACAGTGAATTGAGCTTTTGTATTTGACAGCTTGGCCTAAAGAAAAATAATGTGACAACTACTTATTACTAACCTGAAGTCATCATCATACGCCGACGGATAGTATCAATCGGATAGGATATCAATCCAGAAGTGACAGTCACACCATAACCGAGGCAGAAACTGATTGCCACACCTGCATCCGGCCCAAGGAATATCGGTTTCAAAGTATCATACAATCCAAAGTAAAATCCTCTGTATACAATTATACCGACGCACGAGATAACGAAGCCACGGTAGAGACCAGCAATACCATCTGACTTGAACGTTTTACTAGGGGAATGTATAAGTTGTATGATTCATCTTACGCATAGACATCAACCAAACCATTGAATTCACGAGTCCCACCCTTTTTGGCAGATTTGTTGTCATTGGCCAGACGAGTTCGAGCGTAGTCCAAAGAATAAACGAACACTAAGGACAGAGCACCTGCTGCACCACCACTGACCACGTTTTTGTAGAAAGCAACCACGTATGGATCATCTTTATTTTGCTTAAACGCTGACTTCACTTTGTCCTTAAATGCAAAGTTCAGAGCTTGGGTAGGGAAGTACCTCAAGCAATTAGGTAAATTTCCACGCCAGAAGGGTAGTATGCCTAAAATAATAGTCATGAAAGACTAGCTAGTACCTTCTTGCCGGAATGTTCGTACAGTACAGTCTATAACACCAGTGTACGGTTTATCTAAGCGCCCTTGCTTGATCATCTCATCTTGATTTTGAACGAGTAGTTTAACTCGCTCTATCGGAGCAGCTGCGGTCTTCGCGATAACTGCAGCAGCACCGCTAAGCAGAAAATTTTCGGCGAAACTCAGTCCTTTAATTTCTTTCCCACCCTCTCCCATAATGACTATAACAAATGTCTCTTGAGGAGATGAGTAGCGACAAAACGACGAACACAGCGGGCCAACACAGCCAAGAGGTTACTAAAACAAAAGTTCCGATATATAAGTCTATGGTTGACCTTGAGTAATAGCATAAACAGTGTAGTGGAAACTGTCCAGAAGGTCAAATGCCAATTTGCGATTTGAGTGATAGTGATTCTAAGTGGCATTAAGTAGCTTAGTTTTGTTGTTATCTACCTGGTAGAGCACCAACCTTCAGATTCAGATTTGTTTAGTAAGGACAAAGGGCCTATTGCCTATGTTATTCATTTTCTAGTATGCTTCTGTGAGTGTCCAGTCTTCTCTTGAAAGAGTCAATTGAAGGTGTTGACACAACTACTTCGGGCAGCAGGTTCCAAGTATTGATAACTCAGTCTGTAAATCTGTATGTCGCGGGTATTTTGTTCGTTCTTGCCTTTTCTACTCGCCCGCTATGTCCCCTGAGATGTTCTGATCTATTGGGAAGAAAAAGAGGGAATTAGTTAGGTCCGAACTGATTTCTCAGTATTCTGTACATCAAAATTAGATCTCCCCTTAGTCTGCGATAGGACAAAGTAAAGAGGTCCAGCTTTTCAAGCCTCTCTTTGTGTGATAAACCCCGGAGTTCCGGAATTGCACAGGTAGCTGCCCTCTGTACTTTTTCTAGTATGTCCGACTAACCTTTCAGACAGGGGCTTGCAGCCTGAACGCAGTTCTCAAGATTAGTCCTCACTAATGATGTGTATACTGTGGGGAACATGGTAGTGTCTAACTTAGTGAATGTCCGTTTTAAACCCCAAGGGGTTCGAGACCTCCCGGCAATGGACCGTCGTCTTGAAATCATGATTCACTGTCTGCCCTAGATCCTTAGGAGACCGGTCTACGGGTAATGGCACACCCCCTATGTTGTAACTATTAACCATTGAATCCCCAAAGTGCACGTAGACACACTTTTCCGCGTTGATAGGCATCAGCCACTCCTTAGACCAGTTCATCATGTTAAGTCTGCCTGAAGAGCACATGCGTCTTTATCTTCAGTTATTACTCGCCAGATTTTTACATCGTCAGCGTACAATAACATTGGAGACTGTACTATACTTGTAAGATCATTAACGTACATTATAAAAAGTAAAGGACCTAGGACGGAACATTGAGGTACCCCACTAAGTACTAGTCTCCAGATGGAGCACTTGGAACTTATTCTTACTTTCTGTCTACGACCTACTAGGAAATCCTTAATCCATTTTAAAAGAGGTCCGGCAATACCAAGGTTTTTCAACTTTAATAGCAAACTATTAGGTGGGACCTTGTCAAAAACCTTACTTAAATCTATGTAGACAACATTCATTGAGTTTTCGTTGTCTAGCGCATTTATACAGACCTCCCTAGCTATAGGGAGGTTCGTTGTACAAGATAGACCCTTTCTAAAACCATGTTGTTCCATGTTTAGCAATTTATTGATTTCCATAAATGCCATTATGGTCCGTTTGACTATTATTTCCATTATTTCAACCACAACACTGGTGAGGCTTACAAGTCTGTAATTTGATGGAACTTGTCGTGGACCTGTTTTGTGTATGGAAGTGACAATCGCGTCCTTCTAGTCCATAGGTAGCACTCCTTGATCAAGTGACATGTTGAATATCACAGTCAGTGAGGCCTCGATATATTGTGCAATATGTCTCGATATTTTGGGGTGTAGTTCATCTGGTCCTGTTGACTTTTCCATGTTTAAAGTACTAGGAGCCCTAAGCACATCGTCTTGATCGAAGTTCACGGTAAGCAGGTGGTTTGTTGACTGTTTATTTTGGTCTGGTTCTTTCTCTAGAGGTGGTTCCTGAGTGAAAACTGTCCCAAAATAGTCAACCATAGCCTCCGCTTATTCCTGATCTTTCTCTATCATTTCGGATTCACCTCCTATTTTAATTAGGTTGGGAATCCAATAGTGCATCCTTGTTCTGTAGTTTATGCACGAGAATATTCTCTTGGGCTGCTTGAGTGCAGATTTTGCCAACTGCATTCCATATTTTCTTTGAGCTTCCCGAAGTTTTGTTATACATTTGTTTCTGTAGCGTTCTATTGTACCTGTTGTGCCAAGGCGGATAACGACATCCCAACATTTCTTCTTTTGTCTTAGTAAACGTCGAATATCCTGGCCTATCCAGGGATGGCCGTGTTTCTTCTTCTTTGGGACTGTCCAGAGTATGTATGGTTGAGTTACCCGATTGTATAACTGCCTGAATAGAGTCCATGCCTGTTGTACTGATGCCTTTGAGTCAATTTCCCAGTTCTCAGCCGATGCTGCGGAGTTAATTGCCTGCATATCTGCCTTCCATATGTTAGGACAGGCCGGCGCAACTGTTTGACAAGCAATCTCAGCCATGAATTTGAATAAGGTGACTGCATGGTCACTTCTCCCTAGTGGTGGGAGGAAAGCCATTTGGCCAACGCCATCACCGTGTGTGAAGACTAAATCTAAAAGAGAAGAAGAGTTTCTTAAGTCGTATCTTGTGGGATCTCTAATGTGTTGGAATAATGCTAATCCAGTCGAGGTGTCTAAAAGTTGGCAGTCGAACGACGTTATCAATGACCCTACTTCTAAGTTAACCCAGTTTACATACGGTGCATCAAAGTCGCCTACTACGAGGCTTTTACTCTTGTTACACCAGGACTTAAGTTAGGAGAAAATCATCTGCTACACATTCTGGACTGCGATATACTACAACTAATTCAATATCATGCCTTCAACATTTCAACTTACATCTCACCAGTTCATATGTCTCTGTGCTACTGTCTCAGCTAATCTTATGGTTACGGTACTTTTCGTGAACAGAATAACCTCGCCCCTCCCTACGGTTTAATCTATCAGCCCTACTGGTTAAAAAATCAGTCAACTGAATTTCATTATCTAATATTTCCGAGACAGCAATAACGCCCGGTTTTTCTTTATCAACCACTGAATTGAGCTCCGCCATTTTATTTAGTAGGCTGCGAGCATTTGTGTAGCATACCTTTAAGTCTGTGAAGAACTTTCCCTTACCACCCAGAGTGGCTTTGGGATCGTTTTGCTCCGAACGTTTACAATTTGAAAACCCCTAAGGACGAGGTTTCTTTCACCGTTTTGGTGACGCTCATTTATTTCCATTTCTGCAGCTCGCCTCTTAATACGATCAGCTAGGCTGAGGTCCTCATGGACGAATATTCCGGATCCAATCAGTTTACGTGAATTACCTAGAATCAGGTTCCTTTCTTCAACCATGGTGAATGTAACCTTCAAGAAGCAGTTTTTCTGAGGACTTTCAGAATCCATCTTTTTTCCTGTTCTATAAAGCTTATAAATAGTAACTCCCGAAACTGTATCTGGGAATAGTTTACTTATAGAGGATTTAATATGATTGAGATCGTGTTCAAATCTAGCCTTTGGTTCTTTGTCGGAAGACTCTCAACATATGAAAAATGGCTGATCTCTCAGAGAGATCTGTCCAGTCACGCAGTGGAGTTTTTGCTTCTGATACCCTCTCTTCCAATGACTTGCTGACCAGCTGTGTTTTGTTTACAGCTTTTTTCTTCTCATTTTCTTCGTACTGAAGTCCATTTGTCACCACTCAGGACAGCCACACCGGAACTATTTGGAACGGTGACAGTCTTATCCGGGTCTTCAATTTCGACTAGAGGCGTATGATTGCCGATGTCAGTATCTAGCGGCACTTCACTCCTCGTTAATATTGATGGAGATTTCACTTTCTCGTCAATCACAGTCAGGTGTTTAGTGGGTCCGGTAGCAGCACTTACTACACTGACACATTCTTCACCGTCAGTGCTCGTGTGATCAGCGCTACATCCATTGTTTTTCTTGCAGGCCAAAGCCAATAGGCTCATAGCCTCCTAAATTAGTAACTTTTTATTTATACAGCAGAACATACAAAGCCAATGTGAGTTAGGCTTCGAGCATCTTTCGTATGCCATAGGACTTGGGAGTGTACACAACCTTAGTTCACAAGATAATATTTCTGATTCACGTTTTCGAATTGCAGACAGAACGATTGCGGTATGTGTTATCCATTTGTTGCAAGCTTTAACTGACATCAAATCGTCTTTCAAAAAAAGTCGATTGAATCTCAGGAAGTCACCCCTTGTAGGCTTCAGTAGCTGATTTCTCGATGAAAAAGCGTTTATATCAAATAGATTATGTTCTTCCATGGCTTTTGGAATAATCTTTTATGTCCTCTTAGTTATCTTCAATCCATTAGGAGAAAGCGAAAGTGTGTATAAGGGTCCAAATCATTTCTTCGTATTCTACACATCATACATAAATTATCTCAGATTCCAGTAAGGTATTTTAACGAGGTTTGACTTCTCAAATCAAATTATACGTGGCAAGATACATGAGACCTGAGTTGGGTAGGTAGCTGTCTTTTGTCATTTTCCCAAGGGATTTGGGTCACGTTTCGAATATGGCCTAGTGACACTCAATTTTCCAACTTGTACAACGCTAAGGCTGCATAATCCATGGTGGACAAGTATGGATCTAAATTGGTAGAACTCCGTCTTAGTTCGTCACCTATTCAATCCCATGAATGCAACAGATAGGCAGCGACATTTGGTTAAAGGAGCCACGATTTGCTATGGCAACTAGTCCACTATGAGATTTTAAGGGTTAATGTAGTTGTAGTTATCTAGGTAGAACAATTCTATGTATATGCGGAAACTTTGACAACGACCAAAATACGAGTCAATAAAATCAAGGTCAGCACGACGTGCACGTTTTTATAAAGTAGCTAACATTTTATAATTTCCCATTATCGAGTGACTGTATTCACTCATGTCTTTCTACAAGATTCATTGTGAAGAATAAGCATTTCCTGAAACCATCTTAACCGCCGTTTAACTATTTATTTATGAATAGCGTCACATATGATGTGACTGTAGTTTTCAATGTTTCGACAAAGCGTATAAGTTCCGTTTAGTACTTTCTCACGCTATCCACAGTCGTCTGATAACTGTGTGGCCCCTTAAACCGTAACTAGTAGTAGTTTGCCGATTAGACGATATGTTTCAGATAATGATCCATTTCTTCTTTC